TTCCATCTTTTGTGCACTGTTTCCTATCCTGTATTCTCCTCTAGAGTGTCGTCATCTGATATCAATACAGCAGCCAACTTCAAGTAAAACGGATCTGAAAGTGATAATGTGTGAGTCTTTCACATGCATTTGAGGGACTTGAAGGTGATGGTATATTAATTTTAGTTAGGCTTAACATCTTTTCAATTACTTACGTAAATTAAGCGAAACTTTTTTCTTCAAGCTGTCAGAACTTTTGTCTGGTCTCTACATCGGGATCTCATGCAAAAAGGGGAGATATTTTTTATCCATTTTATCTCGTCTGCTATTTATTTCCCTCTGATACAGTTGTCAAAATTTATGGGCACAGGGGATGAGGACTGTTTTGCCATTAGCTCGTCCTTGCAAATTTTTTTTGTATTACGTAACATGCCACCTTGTCCTAAACAAGCCGACTCAGTGTGTTTGCTAGTATTTCTGACGTTCTGGAATTCTAACGCTGCCACCCCCTTTAAATGGTTTTACCTTACGACTTTAAAAGGGATCAGTAGTCCACGATCGAGAGACCAATTAGTGGCGATAATGCTCTACCCTGTATTGGGCGGCAACCTCTTTGAAACTATGCAGTTTGGTTGTAATAACATAAAATAGATGGGATATCTTTTGCATATAGCGATTAAGCACGAAATATTGGAAAGTATTTTGCACTTTTTGATTCGTTGTTCTATTGTGTTGTAGTGTGTTGGTGTTGTAGTTGATCGACAGTCGAGAAACGGACCAAATCCTGCATCTTCATTTGGAACACTACCACGAGAGCGACTTAACACGCATAAACCACTGCAGCCCAATCTGTCCGTGAGCAGCCCCAATCTCAACGAATTGGATGTCATATGCACTAAGAAAATTGGGACTCTACAACGAAAAGATGCTATCCGCAAGAAACGGCAAGTTATGGTGCACAACGACAACGAGCATGAACGTGGTGTACAATTTCCGGACTCTGATGGTTTGTTCGTTGTTCGTTTGTATTTATTTGCACGTTCCTTCCACCTGAGACTTCTGTATTTTCTCTATAAAGCTTCCTGCAGTCTTTGTGTCGTTTAGATAGTACAGCTAGAGCTTGTAATTCAAATTGAATATTGGTTTTTACTTCTAATTAATAAATAAAGTAAGTATCTCGACATTCCAGCGCAAAGTTCTAAACGTAGTAAATCCTTCAGACATTTTTTACTACTAATTCCCTCTCATCACCACCGTGAAATTTCTTGGCACATGTTCACGTTTACCAAAAACAAGACATGTTTACTTTTAATAAAATTCATTTAAAAATTCTTGGCTTTATCATTTTGTCTCTCTTGCAAAAATTTTCAAAGAGAAATCCATATTTATGTTTGCAAGACCTTACATATTGTAGAATATGTGCTCTTGGCCATACCTTATTAGCACCTTGGTATTATTCTTTTTTAGTCACAGCCAGAATCGATCTAGAAACATTAAAAAGTTTGTTTGGATGCGATCTAAAGATCGGTTTTTTATCATGAATAATGTTAATATGTTGATACGCTAACAACCACTGTTAGTTTTTCACGTCATCTCCTGCTTCCTCTTATCCACCTCTTACTAAATCGGGTTTATCTGTATGCTAATCAAAACATTTAGCTGAAAATCGCCCCCATCATCTCCTTCCGGG